AATACGGCACATCATTTCAGGGTTTCTTAGCTGCAAATAATTTCAGTAAGCCTTAATTAAAAGTAATTTCCTCTTCCTACTTACAGTCATTTCTCTCAAGATGGGCAGAATCATCATCTTGAGGTGCCTCCAGGTGCTCATTTCCAAAGAAAGGAACCTTTTTCATATGGAGAAGATCAGTAAGGTTAAGGGAAATGAATCCCAAAATCACTGCTTTGTCCTGGGAACCAACAGATCTGGGGTTTTTCTTTTTGCTTTTAATGCTTGCCTTGATAAAATGTGGACAGATGGGTGCAGATGTTCCAGAGAGATCGTTCTTAATGTGAAGACTACATCTTATCAAGCTTCCAGGTTAAAAAAGGATACAGCATGTCTAAAACAAGGTGATCAGCATTATTCTCATAACAACAACCGTTACCATTTTGGTTACTGGGTTAGGTTTTTTCAGCAGTTCCCGAGCCATCTGTTCGGAAATGCTCCAAAGGAAAGAATGAACCTGGCGAGAATAGGAGATTTTGGACGCAAACAGGAAACTGTGGTAATACCGCAGTGTTGGGTGTAAACTGAATATTTCAGGTTTAGTATGGAATAAACAATGTGAATTAATGCACTTAGTCTGGAACTAAGAGAAAACAAGGGTACTTAAACATAACATTGCCTTGCACCTAAGTGCGTTCACAAGCAGGGATAAAACAGGAGGACAGAATTATGGATTAGTTTCTTCTAAAAGCAGTTGATGCCTTTGGGAAAATTTTCATGACAGGAACATGCACTTAGTTAAAGTCCAGGACAACCATGGCAGAATCGCATGAGTCACCTGATGCATTTGTGGATGCTTCAGCTAACGCAGTATTTGTAATAATGTAATATCTGATTCACCTGTCAGGCTAAGAGAGTCTTCCCAGAAAGTACATCTCAAGTGAGGAAACCATGTCTATGCTCTTCCTACAGACAAATACACTTCAGGATCCTATAATGCACCAACTCCAAGGAAGAGAAATCCACAGGCACAAACATTCTCCAAGACTAAAACAACCATTCAGGTAACTGCTTGATTAGAGATTTTGACCGCCTGGTCTCTCCCCACCTAGAAACCAGAATTTCATAGTAACAACTCCCCCAACCAAATCCCAAAAAGATCCTATGCAATGCTGAGCAGTCTGAAAGAACAGTTAGGAGTTGTATGGATTTGCAGACAATAATTCCTAATTTTGTACAGTGTTACTGATCTGAAGGCAAAAGTTGTACTTGCCTTTACAATGAGGAGCTACAGGAGGGGGTTTGGCTTGTAGCACTAGACAAAGCTCAGCAGAGACACTGCATGAGCGTGGTCTATTTGTCTCTCTTTGTCTGCTTATGTAGCATCTCCAAAAGCCAAACACTCATCAGCCACGGTCCTAATTCATGAAAGGAATCACTCTAGTAAACATTCACAGAATGCCCTGAGGGCCTAAAATTAATAGATTTTACAGCTGAGCAGAAAGCAGAGATGACAACTTGACCTTGCCTCTTGTGTCAACGGTTTACTGCTTAAACTGCTTCTGAAAGAGCGTATAGTTTTGCCATAGGAAATTATGCACAAGGTGTTCTGTGTTTGTATTTTGACAACAGCACCGAAAAGACATGGAAGTGAACCACAAACGAGAAGGGTATGAAGACAGGAGGGAGATGAAGAAAGTACCTGAATTCACAAGAACAACCTAAATTGCAGAAAGATAGGGGAATTCTCAAGAGGAGAAGCCAAACACGATAAGAATGCAAATTCCAAAAATAACACGTAGGAAGTACACTGTAACACTTCAAAAGTGATTAAATTTTAATCCTTCATCATGGCTATGCTACTGCCTTGTTCTCATGCAGATTCTTATTCCTGACAACTGGACTCTATCAGCCCAGCCCTATCCATCCTATTCCTGATTTCTAATCCTATCTACGTACTCCAGTGTTTCCCGAAGACGTGCCAGCTTGGAAATTGCTCTAAGACAAAAGAAGAAAGACAATCTCCTTGCGAACTCTTTCTGCCTTTCCCATTATTGGTTAGAGATAATTTTGCCTTTGTATGCAGTTCAAGTAGTGTATATACACTAGAAGGGTTTCCAGTCTAGCACTGCAATATTTGGAGACGTGCCTTCCTTTATGACAATGGGCAACGGAAATTCAACCCAGTGAGCTGCTCTGAGCCCTCAGTTTGGAGCTGAAAGGCAATAGCACCATTTTATTCCAAGCAATACCCAGGCCAGTCCAGTGAACTATGGCAAAAGCATCCTGCTGTTAAATACTTTCTGTTTTAGGAACTGCGTTTGTAGCCATAAGCATAAAATACAGAAGCTTTGAACATGCATGGGCCAGTTTGAGATCTAATCCCGTGTCAGATTCTTCTTGATGAAGGAACACCAACTGAGGAATTGCCCCAGCAGGCAACTAAGCCCCACACAGCAGTTTGCTCGCTCGCTCGCTCACTCACTCACTCACTCACTCACTCACTCCCCGCCCCATTGACGTGTGGGAGAAAATCAGGACAACTGAGAGAAAACTCCTCGGTTCACATGAAAACAGTTTAATAGGTAAAGTAAAAGCCACACACACAAGCAAAGCAAAGCAAAGCAAGGACCTCACTCACCACTTCCCATCAGCAGGCAGGTGTTCAGACATCTCCAGAGAAAGTAGTCATCACCACGCCAAACGTTTCCCCCCCCCCTTACTTCTTGTTTTCCCAGTCTGTCCGTAGACTGCCTTTTCCAGATCGGGAAGTCAGAATACTGGTTGGGTCCCTTGAAAGTTTCCCAGTACCATTATCCTGGAGTGACCCCGTTCCTTGCCGTGACCGTTCCCGACACTTAGAAAAAGCAAACGCAACACCTGCGTGAGGACCCGGATGCGCCACCATCCCTTTCGCCAGAGACCTGCAGCCGAACTCCTCGCCACCTCCGTCTCGAACAAACACGGCACCTTCCGCTGCACCGCACCCCCACACCTCACAACCCCCGTTGCCAGCTCTGCGCCGAGCACACACTGCGACTGCGCCTGCGCCGAGCACACACACACACACACACACACACACACACACACACACACACACTGCGACTGCGCCTGCGCCGAGCACACACACACTGCGACTGCGCCTGCGCCTGCGCCTGCGCCGAGCACACACACTGCGACTGCGCCTGCGCCGAGCACACACACACTGCGACTGCGCCTGCGCTGAGCACACACTGCGACTGCGCCTGCGCCGCCCCCGCGGGGCGCCACGGGAAGTGGAGCCCGTTACTGCTTCCCCCGCCAAGCTCTGCGGCACGGCCGTGGGCGCGGTGGGTGAGCTGGGCTGCCCGTGTCCAGCAGCCCGCAGCCTCGGGTCGGTTCCGCCGCCCCGCCCCGCCCGGCCCGGCTGCGGGCCTGGGGCAGCTCCGCTCTCCCCAGCGGCAGCTGCCGCCGGGCCAGGGCCGGCCCGGGAGCCACAGCTGTGCTCGGAGATGGGTCCCGGCGGCCGCGAGGCCGAGGCCGGTCTGAGGCCCCAAGCTGTGGGGACCTCTCCCTCAGGACAGCCGCCTGCTGTCCTTACCCAGGCTCTGCCTCGGCGTACAACCCTTGAGTCTCTGCCGCTTGACTGTGCCTGGACGCCAGGCACTCGCTCACCAAAGCTGCTTTGCCGCTGTGCTCTTTAGCTGCACGGAGGGGAGAACATGCAACGAAAGGCTCGTCGGTCGACACAAGGACACGGACAGAGATCGCTCACCCTTTTCTCTCAGTTTATTGCCAATCGCAGCCGAGCAGGGGCATGAAAAAATAAAAGTCAAATTTCTCAACACCACCTCCTCACCAGTCCCTTCTCCCCTGTTGTCATTGGCCCTGTTGGACACATGGGAAGCTTCCAGCAGCTGCTCCCTGTAGCCCCCAGCTACCACATCTTTGCCACACAAACCCAGGGCAGAATCGGTTCTTCCTGACCAGCCCTGCTTCTGTGCCTCATGTAGGCCCAGCTGCGCAACTACAGAGCTGTGGATAGCCCCTGGCACAGCTGACCTGGCCTTCCTAGGGCTGCTTCTGCCCACTGATGGCTCCTTACTCATGGCCCTCATCTGCTTTCCTGAATTCTCCTTCCCCTGTGTGCCCCAGTCAGTCCTGCCCTGGCACACTAATGTCGTACAGCACCGCTGTGCTCTGCTGACCTGTCCTGTGCGTCTAGTCACCATGCACTGCTGGGCTGGGTTCTTGCGGAGTTTTTCTGATTTGTTTGGTTTTGTGTTGTTTTTCTTTGTGTTTTTCTGTTGCTCCTTCTCCCGTGGAACCGCTGGTCTCATGCACTTCTGATGCTGCTATGAGCCACTGATTCTCTTTCTTGCTGTTTACCTTGTATCCTCCCTCCCGTTTCTTTGGTTTCATCTCTATCCTTATGACTCTCAAAGTAATGGCATTTTTCTCCCTGGGGTCATATCTCCTTTTCTTTTCTGTGCTTCCGTTTGTGTTTTACTACCAAGTTCCCATGATTTGTTCCCACAGTGCACAGAAGCATTCATTTCCAAGTCACTGATGTCAAATATACAGGTTCTTCTTCCCCACAGATATTTTTTATTCAGAGGATGCCTAGCACCTGAATGGGATCAGAGCTGTTCTTTAGGGACACAAGTGTCCGCTGCTCTTTCTGCTGTAGCTGTGGCACTGGACATCATAGAAACAAGAAAAACCAATGAACCCCAGCAGTGTAAGCATTTAACACCTAGCACCCTAGTAGCGGGAAGCAGCAATCCACAGAAAGAGGTGCAGTAAGAAACGTGGGGCACAGGGACTTGGGTTAAAAAAACACTCAAAGAATAAAGTTCATCTTTGTCTTCTCAAAGATTTGTTTCCAAGACCACAGGTTCTACGAGAAGAAGTTGGGTATTATTTAAGCACCACAAGATGGGTTTGTTTCAGTATACGTGAAAGGAATATGGGGTGGGAGAGTAGGAGCCTCTTGGAGATGCTCTGATTTTCCATACTTTGATGAAACGAGATCAAGAAAGATGCTCAAGCGGGACAGGCCACATGCAACCATCATGCTGACGTCACCAACTGGAGGAGCCCTTGACAACCGCAAAACATTCTATGGAACCCAGACTACGGAACACTTGTTGAACATTCTCTACTGGCTAGCAGTTGCTGACGTCAGCTCAGCGAGCCTGCAGAAGGCACCATCTCCTTTGCACACTAGAGTGTGATGGAGGTGAAAATGGACACGAATGGGACAGAATGCTATTTCCAGTTTTATTCCCCCTATGCACAGGTACGTGACGAGAAGAGCTAAAGGTAATCTAAACTATATACAATTTCAACTGGGCGCAGGCAATCAGAGAACACAGAGGTTAGAAATCACACCTATAGACCACTCATCACTTTCTTACTGAGTCAACATAATACTAATTCTGAACAAATAGACCACGTTTATAATTTCTTTTTGGAGCAACTTCCTGAATTACTGTAAAATCTCTTGTTTAAAACAAAGCTCTTCAGAAAGGGATTGTCCTCAAAAAAATTACTTAAATTCCACTGAGTGAAAATCAGGGTGGCCATATGGACACTTGGTTATTGTCCACATTTCATCACTGGGGGATGATTAATTGTCACTAATGGCTGGGAAATTGGCTTTGGCTCCAGACCCCAGAGATTCTCCAGGTATAGGCCAGTTCTCCTGACTACAGTCCAGACGTGGCCTCTTTTCTTTCTAAATGTCTGGCACTGGGTGAAACCGACCTTCAAATACTCTAATATTTTAAAGCGTGTCTTTGTTGCCTTTAAAAACTCACACACAAACTCACTGAGAAACAACAGGTCACCTGGCGTGTATAGCTCTCAGCCTGGATGCGGTTTGTATCCAGGATAGAAACATGAGTTTGCATTTGTCACTGTGACACTGTTATACATGGACTACTGCATCATCTTCCCCATTTATTAAAACCAAAATCTTTTAAAAGAGCAGAGTCACCTTTATGACAGCCACGGGGGTATGGGAAACCAGTGTGAATCTCCAGAAATTTGTTTTCTTCGGGTGCAGATTCTGTCAGTGTGGAAAACCTCTTGGATGCGGTACTGTGCGCCCACTATGAAAATGGAGATAGTTGCATCTGTTCAGTGGATTTAGAGATACGGAAATGCAGGTGGAAAGGAGCAAGTCCCTTCAAAACACATGTTTAAGTCTGAAAACAAAAGTGACTTTCTGCAGCCGAGCTGATGTTTCCAATGGGAACTGGAAAAAAAAAAAAAAAGATTTTTTTTCCAGATTTTTAAGTCCAAGTGTGACAGGTCTGTGCATGGATTACAAGTTCCCAAATGTCTAGGCTTTTGTTTCTTGTCAGGAATCTTTGTGGGGTTTGTTTTTTACTTCTCATTTTCCCACAGACCCATGTACTCGTAATAGTAAGAGAGTAATTGTGTGAGATTTGCCACATGTACGGCAGATTTTATTCAAGATCTCTTTAAATGTTCTGAAATATCAGAATACACTCCCACCAAGTCTTACTTGTATGTGCACAGTAGTTACATCATGTAGTGATCCATTAAGTCCATTTTTACTAGTTCATTTACAGTATCTGAAAACTGTTCCCTCCTGCAGCAGAAGTTAAAGAACATTGCCTGCTTGTGGGAAAGACAACCCTCAGGCTGTGTGAGGATCAGCTGTGCCTTCCATCACAGCAAACCTCGTTATATCAATGGACTTTTTCTGCCACCTACTAACAGTGAGTAAAAATATTTTCTCAACAGATTTTTCATTAGAATTCAGAAAATATCCTTCTACTCTTGTTCTATTGTATAATAAGGGCAAGAAACGTACCATGCCAAGACAGTCAGGCATGATCTGCTATAGCGAGATACTGAAGTCATGGAATGCTTTGGCATTGGAATGCTTTGGCATTGGAATGTTGTTGCAGGAATTTTGCCTATCATGTTACAAATTGTCATAGCTACCAGTGGTATGAAAGATGAAGTCATGAACGGTAGCTTAGATTGCTGAGATCCACAGAGCAGGAATGATTTTTCCTTGGGTATTTGGTAGATTATATCTCTCTAGTACCGATCCTGCTCTTTTCTGCAGATGCGCTATTGCCACAGGCTGACCAAGAAGTGATTCTGCCTCCAGCCCAGTGTCAAGGCTCACACACACGTCCAGGGAATATTGTAATACCAATTCACTCTCCAATGATTATAAACCTCAACGATGAAGAGGATGATGAAGAAGATGATGAAGAGGACGATGAAGAGAACTGTAAGCAAGTTTTTTCTATCCTTTACAAGCAAGTAGAAGGTATTTTGTAAAACATTATAGTGTACTTCTCACTCAACTGATTCATTAGAATGAGCATTATTTGCATGAAAGAGTGGTTGACAAGTTGCTAAAAGAGTTTCCAGCAAATCTCCAAATTATCAGACCTGACAGTCACCAGCTGTGAGTGAGGCATCATTTTCTAATTCCTGTGAAATGCCCAGCTGTATGTTTCAACAGTGGTATAACTCACATTCCTCTTTCTCATTAACTAGACTTTAAAGGGTGATCCCCAATTCAGATAATTTGTGAATTCAACTTATATAATCTCCTCAACTGATTTCCTCAACTCCATAGGCAGTCTCATTACAAAACATTATTCTGACGTCTAGCAAACACAATGCATACCAAGCTCTTTCCTAGCTTACCTGAATGTGTATGTTTATGTACTTAGGTCCTTATGTTTTAAAACTTATTAAATGCGGTTGAACCATTCAGTGAATCTCATTTAGAGATGGCAGATCCATAGGGAAGAGATGAACTGCACATTCCCGGTGAGTGAAAGGAGAGAACAACCTGCTCTAAGGCGCACACTGCAGAAGTTAAAGTACTAATAATTTTAAGTCAACACATGTTATCTTCTTACAAGGCTTGTAACTGCAATTCCCTTGCCCTTGGAAGTACCTAATGTGAAGGAATGATTTCCCTGTCCGGAAGCAGAGGTTGTAATTGGGATGGAAATAAAAAGGAAAACTAAACGCCAAAAACCGTAACCAAGTGAAATTCATTATGTATTTGACTGTTAAGAATTGTTGAAGGTCTTTGTCTAGCTATCCCCTGATCTTTTAAAAATATTTCCCACAGATGTTACTGACTGTGTGCCTAAGACTGCTGAGGATATCGAAGAGGAAAGAGCAATAAAGGAAATATGCTATAAATCTGGTAAGTAGGAAAGGAGTTGTCACGCTTTTCTGAGCAGCCATGCTGCACACACAGTAATCTTTGGGGTATTTTTCCCTCTTGATAATGTTCAGGAGAGTTTTACGGGATTCAGCAGCCTGGCCAACGGCAGTCACCTAACCCTGTGTCACCGTCCCAGGAAACTGAGCTACGGCCCTCGGAAGCTACCCAGTGGGACTTGCAGAAAGCCAAGTACTTTTCATCGCCTCGGACAATGGGTACCACTTTTGAAATTACTCTTACAAGGAGAAACTAGGACACAGTTTGCCCCTCCTCTCCACTTTTTGAACTCAGGACAGTCCTAAGGCGTTTGCAAATATCATAAAAATACTTAGTTTTTCTTCTTATTTGTGTGTATGGGTATCACACAGGTGGTGACTACCTGCATCAATTGTCACTGTAAAAGGTGAAAATGGGCTGCATATTAACCCCAGGAGTACTTTCCTCGGGTACACAACATCAGTTTTTTGTGTAATTGTTCTTCAAAATCACAATTTATGTACTCTAACCATTCTAATGTTAAGAACTGGTTTCAATTTCTCTAGCAGGCTCTCTCTTGTAAACAGGGACAAGAGTCCCTATTTACACTCTGATAGGGCTATTTATTGCACCGTGAGGATGCCAAAGAACGGTAAAAAACAGCTTTCTCAGAGGCATTTTGAACTCTCTGCTGAACCTCTCTGGTGTCTAGAGGATGAGACGTAGTGGTATATTTCAAGAAAAGGACAGATATGTTTCCCCAAAGCTTTTTTTCAGCCAAGTTCTCTGAGGCTTTAGGTTCTGTGATAACAGGCACCTTGAAAATGCCATCAATTTAATGAGGCAGAATTCATACGTATCATACATGAAGAGTGAATCTAAAGGAATGATTTCCCTGTCCGCAAGAAGAGGTTGTAATTGGGAAGGAAATAAAAAGGAAAACTAAGAGCCAAAAAACGTAACCAAGTGAAATTCATTATGTATTTGACTGTTAAGAATTGTTGAAGGTCTTTGTCTAGCTATCTCCTAATCTTTTAAAACTATTTCCCACAGGTGTTTCTCACTGGGTGGATAAGACTGCTGAGGATATCAAAGAGGAAAGAGCAATAAAGGAAATATGCTATAAATCTGGTAAGTAGGAAAGGAGTTGTCACGCTTTTCTGAGCAGCCATGCTGCACACACAGTAAACTTAGGGGTATTTTTCCCTCTTGATAATGTTCAGGAGAGTTTTACGGGATTCAGCAGCCTGACCAACAGCAGTCACCTAACCCTGTGTCACCGTCTCAGGAAAATGAGCTACGGCTCTTTTGATTTTTCTTCACAATCTAAATTTATGTAGTGTAGTTTGAAGCATCCTAAGATTCTTTTCACTGTATAGTATTGACTGACCAATTTTGCAGTCCTAAATTATTCCACAGAATTTGGCAGATTCTTGGTTTTCTCCTTTCTACATTTAAAATGCATCTTGTTAGAATAGTTTCGGTGATTTTTTTCTGGCACATGTTTATATATGTTTAGAGTACAGATGAGAGAAACAGTAAGAAATATCTGGGTTTAAGGCACATCCTTATTTTTCATAAGATACATTCTGAGGAAAGCATAGACAGATTTACCCAAAGCATTTCTTTAATTGAGTTCTCCGAGGCATTAAGTTCTGTGATGACAGGCAGCTTGAAAATACCATCAATTTGGTCAGGTAGGATTCATAACTACCATTCATGGGAAGTGGGAAGCTGAAGAACAAGCAGGTAACTTGGAGCTGGTTCTTTCCTTTGGAGCCAGTGCCTTCTTTACTCTGTGTACAACGGTATTTTCTTGGAGGGCATGAGTGTTATAGCTCAGGTAGTGGAGTTACTCCAGGCAGGATCCAAAGAACAGCCGAAAGAGAGAGAAGAATATAAAAAGGGAGTTGGAAGGCAACTGCACTGAACTCATGACAAGCTCCCAGAGGTGGGAGGAAGCGAATGGCAGTGCCCTTCCCAGTGCTTAAACACCAGCAGCTGAAACATTGTTTCTGGTGCTTTCACAGGTGAAAGCAATACAATTCCTGCAGAATTGAGCAACACAAGTAGAGGAGGAGGAGGGAGTACGGGAAGGAGAGTACCAAAAGCGAGTATTTCCAGAACTGGTTGCAGATCCTTTGAAAATGGAGGTAAGATACTTGAGCGTGGAGTCCTTACGGCTAAACATTACCTCATGAATGACATAACTGTCTATATTTGGACTGGGCTATCCACAAATAAAATGTTTTTTGATTTTAGTCTTGTCTTCCGGCATGACGTCAACATTATTATTTGTTTTTTCCCTTTTAGGAAGCCACACTGCCAGTCCCAAAGTACAGCCCAGTTACCAAACAAATGGTCAAAGTAAAGATGGTGAAACTTCTTCTCTTCCACGTGACAGAGAAACCGGGAGAAAGCCTAACTTCTGTTCTTCAGAACCACGAAGATCAGCATATGTAGTCTACCGTTCTGTCACTGTCACCCAAGAACCAAAGTTCACTGGACCTAGAGGTGAGTTCCTGCTTCAAACGGAGGATTCTTAAAATGCCTCTAATACACCTGCCTGTATTGCGCTACAGTCGATTGTGTCCCTGCAGGTAGAATATGAAGATTTATGGTTAAAGATGGGAAAGAGTAAATTTGATCCAGTGTAACTTTCACAAGTAGGTTGCAGCAGTACACACACAAAGAAATGTAAAGATTTTATGATTGTTTTCATAATTTAGGCTTATGTTTCATCTTCAATAAAAATGTCCTTGGATTTTAATCAAGCTGCTTTTCTTGAATTACATGCAGTGTAAATTTCTGCAATTTATTATTGTTTCTTCACATTATTTCTGTTGGACAGAGCAGTGAGGACATTCTTCCTGCCATTCGTGCAGGATGATATTTTCCATCAACTTCTCTCCGTCTTGCAAATATGCCACTATCCTCCTGATAGAACATACTGTGTCATAAATTTGACAGGATCTGACAGGTGGGATTCCGAGCCCTGTGTCTTCCTGTTTGGATATCTAATTTGGATGTAATCATAATTGTACATCTTTTGCTTTAATTTTCTAATAGAGCTTCACATAATCAAGTACATAATTTGAAGTTTATGTGCCTTTCTCCCTGCCCTGTCCATGATAACTCTGGAAAACTGCTTGTTTCATCTGTCACTTCATAAAAATTAGTAATAAAGTATTTCAATAACCCTAAGTTAAAAAGTCATTTCCTCTAAGCAGGTTTGGTCACCTACCTTAAACCATGTTGAATCTCCATCTCGAGGTGCCTCCAGGTCTTTCCAATGAAGGGAACTTCTTTCATATGGAGAAGATCAATGAGGTTAAGGGGAATGAATTCCCATATCAGTACTCTGTCCCAGGGACTAATAGTTGTGGGGTTTTTCTTTTTGCTTTTAATGTTTGCTTTGATAAAATGTGGACAGATGGGTGCAGAAATTACAGAGAGTTCATTCTTAATGTGAAGACTACATCTTATCAAGCTTCCAGGTTAAAAAAGGATACAGTATGTCTAAAACAAGGTGATCAGCATTATTCTCATAACAACAACCGTTACCATTTTGGTTACTGGGTTGTTTTTTTTTCAGCAGTTCCCGAGCCATCTGTTCGAAAATGCTCCAAAGGAAAGAATGAACCTGGCGAGAATAGGGGATTTGTGACGCAAACAGGAAACTGTGGTAATACTGCAGTGTTGGGTGTAAACTGAATATTTCAGGTTTAGTATGGAAAAAATAATGTGAATTAATGCACTTAGTCTGGAACTAAGAGAAAACGAGGGTACTTAAACATAACATTGCCTTGCATCTAAGTGCATTCACAAGCAGGGATAAAACAGGAGGACTGATTTATGGATTAGTTTCCTCTAAAAGCAACTGATACCTTTTGGAAGATTTTGGGTACAGGAACACGCACTTAGTTAGAGTCCCTGACAACCATGGCAGAGGGTCCTGGGTTCAGCTGTAGCAGTCAGTTTTTCTTAGTATCTGGTGCAGTGCTGTGTTTTTTACTGTCAGCATGGGAACAACATTCATATCACTGATGTTTTTAGTGCTTGCTAAGTAGTGTTTGCTCTGACCAAGGACTTTCTGAGTCTCATGCTCTGCCAGGGAGGAAGGAAAGCTGGGAGGAAGCAGAGACAGGACACCTGACCCAAACTAGCCAAAGGAGTATTCAATACCACAGTACGTCGTGCCTAGTGTGTAAACTGGGGGGAGTTACCCAGAAGGCCCAGATTGTTGCTCGGGTCAGGCTGGGTATCAGTTGTCACATGGTGAGCAGTAGTAGTTTTGTGTTATACCTTAGTTACTGGACTGTTCTTACCTCAATCCATGGGAGTTCCACTTTTTCGATTCTCCTCCTCATCCCTCCGGGAGCTGGGGGAGGAGAAGTGAGCTAGCGGCTGTGTGGTTCTGAGTTACCGGCTGGACTTAAACCACGCCTCGCTTGGGAGGTCCTCAGAGCCTCATGGACAGCCTGCAAGATTACAAAAACTCGTTGAAAAGAGAACTAGAGAGAGAGAGAGTCTGTACTTAATCCTAGCTTCTATTTTAGAGGTGCTACAGGACTCACCTGATGCATTCACGGGTACTTCAGATAACATAGTATTTGTAATAATGTAGTATCTGATTCGCCTGTCAGGCTAAGAAAGTCTTCCCAGAAAGCGCATCTCATATGAGGAAACCATGTCTATGCTCTTCCTACAGACAAATACACTTCAGGATCCTATAATGCACCAACTCCGAGGAAGAGAAATCCACAGGCAAAACCAACCATTCAGGTAACTGCTTGATAGAGATTTTGACCATCTGGTCTCTCCCCACCTGGAAACCAAAATTTCACAGTAGCAAGTTCCCCAACCAAATCCCAAAAGATTCCAGGCAATGCTGAGCAGTCTGAAAGAACGGTTAAGAGTTGTATGGATTTGCAGACGTGAAATTTGGGCTGTAGAACTAACCCATGATTCCTAATTTTGTACAGTATTACTGATCTGAAGGCAAAAAGTGCCTTTAAAGTGAGGAGCTACAGGAGGGGGTGTGGCTTGTAGCACTGGACAAAGCACAGCAGAGACACTTGCATGAGTGTGGTCTATTTGTCTCTGACTGCTTGTGAAGCATCTCCAACAGCCGAACGTTGATCAGCCACGGTCCTAATTCATGAAAGGAATCGGGCTAGTAAACATCCACAGGATGCCCCGAGGGCCTAAAATTAATAGATTTTACAGCTGAGCAGAAAGCAGAGATGACAACTTGACCTTGTCTCCTGTGTTGACGGTTTACTGCTTAAACTGCTTCTGAAAGAGCGTATAGTTTTGCCATAGGAAATTATGCACAAAATGTTCTGTGTTTGTCTTTTGACAACAGCACCAAGAAGACATGGAAGTGAACCGAAAAGGAAAACGATGTGAAGACAGGAGGGGGATGAATAAAGTACTTGAATTCACAAGAAAAATCTGAATTGAAATAAGGAAATTCTCAAATGGAAAAACCAAAGATGATAATATTGCAAATTCAGATAATAAGATGCAGGAAGTACATGTGATTTGTCAAAACTGTTCAGAAACTTTGAAAGTGTGCCCTGAATTGTCACGTATAAAGTTAATAAATATATTCAAGAAGTTTAATCTGTTACAAAAGTTTGTTCTGTGAATTGATTTTTGCAAAGCTTTTTAATGCATCATTAGTCTTGTGAATAAAAGCAATTAGTTTTACTTAGCAATTGCAGAGGACTTAATGTTAATCGCAACAATACTGCATTCCAGAAAGTAGCTGTTTTGGTGAGAAACCCAGATTCTTAGATGGTTTGTTTAGTGGTTTGGCTGATGTTTTGGGGCTCAGTCAGAGTTTAATCTTGAGATTTTGCCATTTTAGCAGAGCAGCAGAACTGTGGACATCATTGTAGTACATGATGCCTTGCAGCAATATTTTATATTTGTATATATAAATATATAAATATATTTACATTTTAAAATGACGAGGAATGAAATTAATTTCTCTATGATGCCTGTGCAAACTCCACTCTTCTCACTGATTTATTAGCAGCACCTTGGCAAACACAGGGCCTACAGTCAGGATTGCTGAAGTGTAGCTTAGAATGGCTTGGCCATGAGAGGAATACTTGTCTGATCATGGATTGTTGTGGAACCAGATCCTCATTGCAATATCTATTGCTTTTTTACTGGATCTTCCTTCAGAGAAATTGCGGATACAGTTCTCTTTAGTTGTTACTTGCTCAAGGTGGCAGGTCACAGATAGTACAAAACACCTCATCATTGTACAATAAATACACAGTTCAACAATATATTAACAGTTCCTGTGAGGTGTTTACTATTCTTGGCTGGTATCAAAGGAACAGTAAGGGATCAGTGGGTTGTATGATCAAATCTTCATGTAAGATTTTCCTATAACACCTTCCAAGATCCACTAACATAATAAAAGTACATGCATGTTTTTCAGATCACAGATGAATTCGCTCTTATGCTCCTTAATCCCCTTCTGCCTGGTTGTCTCTACCATTAGGGCCTCAAGGAGGAGCCAAAGGATCTTGGGGGTATTCATCATTTCATGCAGTGAGGTCCTAAAGACTGCATTTCTGTTTTCATATACCCGCTGCATGACAAATCACCCACACTGGTTTAAACTAACAGTACTTGAAAGTAAGTTCTGAGATAATATGCCAAAGATCAGAGTCGGAGGGCTACTGCAAGAGAGTTGAATTTACCCGAGTATTCTGTATGCATGTGCATTATCTGCTTCTGAACTGAAAGAAGAGGAAAGTTATTTATTGCTTTCACCTTACACATGTTAAAGTATGCTACACTTTTTCTAGATGGTACTTCTAACAGCACATCAGACGTCTAGAATAGGGGAATCATCTTAAATAGTAAATGGATTTACAAAGGTACCACCTGTACTTTATTATAGTTTGCAAAGATTCCAGCCAGAGATCCTATGTTCCTGAATAAACATAACAGCTGAATTGAAATCACTAAGTCCCAGCATCTCAGCAGCACTGGTATTTTAAATAAGATGTTCATTAATTAAGGTAGCAAAGTCCATCTCTAGTCAACATCCAAATATGAAAAAATTTGTTGTTGTAAAATAAAATGAAACTTCCCCAGGAATTATAAAGATTGCTTAAAAACGAAGGATTTTTACAATATCCTTCTAATGAGACATTTGCTTATAAAATATTCCTTGTGTAGCAATGCTTTATGTAAATTCATACATTTATTTTTAAAAAAGGCTGTCGATTATTTAACTATCTCTGCAGTCACTAGGGGTCAGTGCAGCCACAGGAGTGGGCTAGAACAACGCCCAGGACCGAATTTTAATTAGCGTGAGCTTCATTCCAGCTCTTCAGAGCTTAAGCCTCCCTGCAGTGTTCTGTAATAGCTTTAAGTTAAGAGAAAAGGGTGGGGTAGGCTTGTTATGCTTCCTAATTCAGGGGAGCGGTACAACAACCTGTAATTAAAGTTACTAAATGGCTATTTTTAGTCTCTTAAAACACAGGCATGATGTCACCCTACTTCTCCCTCTTCCTACAGGCCTTCCAAAAGGTGTTTGTGTTACCTATTGATCTGGGCAGCCCTCACCACAGCTTCTTCTCAAGGAAATAGTCTTTCAAAATAGGTGTTCATAGACTGAGAGCCTCCTTTAACCTTTCCAGTCTGGAAACCTTTTAGATGATTGTATATATCTTTTCACGTTCTGGTTTTTGGTTTGGTTTTGGTTTTACAGGTGAAGATAATAATAGAAACATTGCTATGATATTTAGTATTTGAGACACCTGTTATGCGTCAAACACAAGGGAATTTCTCCTGCTTCTTTCCTCTTTTTGAATTACTAAGAAAAAGGTAATTAGGCATAACTAAATATTTAAATTTATGTACTGTTTGAGAAGGTGAAGTGAACAGCCAAGACTTCACTTTGTTTAAGAGCACATATACAAAATGCACTCGTTTTGGACAAAAGCAAAGCAATGTCTTTCAAGGTTGGTGTCCTTGTTGTTGCTGTTCCTACGTGATGAAGTTTTATTAATGGATTTCCACTGTAAGGATAAATATGCTGCTTACACCTTCACAACTCCTTCTGCCCCCCAGGAGAATCTGCAGATCAGATCTTGAAGATTGTTCTGCCTTACAGGAGTATGCACCAAGCACAACGTAATCTGACATGACCCATGGTAATTCTATTATTTCAACACAATTATTCCTGTTCTTAAATCCAAGTGTATTTTGAGTGATCACAGCAGAGTGACCTCCAAGGTTTTCATTGCAGCACACATTGCAGCCTGCCAAATTGGTATTGCTCTTGGAGATAAATGAAAGTATGTAATGCAGCAAGACTTTAATTTTCGAAGCAAAATTTGCAGAGTGGGCAAATATAGTAGAGGATTGCAGGAGGAGCAATAAATTATGGAAAAGTGGCAATCAGTTGCAAGTTAGATAAAACATGCTTTGAACCAGCTTTTTCAGTTGGTAGGTGACAATCAAAACCTTTGTTCTTTTGGCATAGGGAGAACCTGATGGTGAAGAGAAGACAGAAGACATGAATAGCTTGTGCTCAAAAGTACCAGATCATTAACATTAAGAAATTAAATATTTATTTGGGGGGATTATTCAGTTTACTCCATTATGTTTACATCTGCAGGTCTTTCTCATGGGCGAAAGCAGAAGTCAGGAGGAATAGTGCCAGTACAGCTTGGACATGTGGACTGCTGAAATAGACACTAATGTCACTGCCAGCAGTCAAGAGAAGTCTTGAGGTTGTTAAAGAACTAAAACTGAATAGTTTGTGGCTGTATTTTTGTGGCCAGTTGTCGTGGTTTAAACCCAATCAGGTAACTCGTTCGCTCACTTCCCCCCCTTTCTTGCCCTCCCCCTGCTCCCAGAGGGACGGAGAGGAGAATCGAAAAGAATGTAACTCCCACGGGTTGAGATAAGAACAGTTTAGTAACTAAGGTATAACACAGATCACTACTGCTACCACCAATGATAATAATGATAAAGGAAATAACAAGGGAAGAGAATACAACACCTCAGCACCAGCTGACCGATAACTTGCCCCCCAAGCCCGACCAAGCTCCGACCGATACCTCCTCCAACCCCTGCAGACTCCCAGCCCTTCCGGGTAACTCCCAGTTACATCCTGGGCATGACGTGCTGTGGTATGGAATACCTCTTTGGTCAGTTTGGGTCAGGTGTCCTGTCTCTGCTTCCTCCCGGCTTCCCCTCCTCCCTGGCAGAGCATGAGGCTCACAAAGTCCTTGGCCAAACCAAAACATCACTATCAGCTCTGTTCCCAGGCCGAAAGTCAAAACACTGCACTGCACCAGCTACCAAGAAGGAGAAACATGACTGCTACTGCTGAACCCAGGACACCAGTATAGGGAATTATAACCAAAATATTTTTCAAATTGCTTAAATTTTAATCATTGGGAGAGGGAGTTTCCCAGTGTTTTATAAAGTGGCAATCATGTATTCCTTAGTGAAAAAGTACAAAATGGTGCTCTGAGATTCCTGGTATACTAACAGCGAAATTTCCTTCAGGTAAGGCAGCTGCAATGTTTCAAGTCTGGAAACCAGCAGATGTTTAGCATTTCTTACCTTGAGGCCAGAGATACCTATTGTTTGATTTAAGGCATTAGAAAAACAACTAGTGTAGCTTGACATGAAGTTGCTGTAGAATAAATAGCCACAAAAGTTGAACTCTCCTAGTGTAGCTTGACATGAAGTTGCTGTAGAATAAATAGCCACAAAAGTTGAACTCTCCTGATTTACAAATGTTGTATTTGTCCTAGAGTGCACTGAGCTATTTTAAAGTGACACACCTCAAGGGCTCACAGGAGACTTCCCTCCCCCTATTCCAGCATGATCAATCCAATATTTGATTTGCTGGAAAACTGTTTTAAAAGCCATTATTTGAAAATCCTTTGAATAGTATATACACTAATGTTATTTAAAAGTCAAGGAATAGTGGTGCGTAAGATCTACTCTAATACATTAGCAACCACTTTTTATTAGGGTAAATAATTGAAATAAGTTTTAATTTACCAAGTCATGTCATTCATCTCTCAAGAATTTCATACATGACTCTCATCAGAGCTGCGCTAGACAAAACCAATCTCTTAAGTCCCATGTAAGCTCCAGGCAAACAGTAGCAAAGAGCTAATGTCCTGAAAAGCAGGTTTCCTGATTTTTATATTTTTTTAAATGTACACTATTTTACTGTTGATAGAAGTAGTATTTACCACATTACATGGCTTGTTTCAGTGACCTTGTAACGTAAATTCTTAAACTGTACCTTTTTCTTCTTAGAACCTACAACTGGCAATGCTTCCAATTTGTAGTCACTGCATGTGTAGGATATTTATGCTGATTGAAACTCTACAAGCTCATAAACTATGATTTCTCCAGGTTGATTACCAATCCAGATATCCCAATAATCCGTTTCAA